TTTTTTTTTTTTTTTTTTTTGGTAGAGACCTTTGATAAAGATTTTTTTTTGTGGGGATGATCTTTGATAAAGATAAGAATAATACGAAAAAATTCTGAATATTATTAAATGCAAAAGTTCTCGCACTGTAATTAATAATTAATTTCTACAAAATCAAATTAAAATTAGCAAATCATGGCTTCACAAATATATTCTTCATTCTTTATCATAAAGTAAACTAAATTATCAAATCATTTGAAAAAAGGCATATTTTACATAGGTTACCTATTAAAAGGATCCATAATAAAGGATGATAGTGTACTAATAGCTGGTGAATATCGACGATATGATGATTCTTCGAAATCATTAATTATACCATCAGTAGATGATGATGTATTCGAAGCATTATTCAATTGATTTGGGATAGGACTATAATATAGTTTTAATTAAATTTTCTTTCACAGTTTTTAAATGATATTTAAGAAATCAAAATAAAGGATTAGTTTTGACAATTAATTCGACAAATATATTTGGAATTACCTTATACTACAATTTAGACTATCGGTAATTTCCTTTAAAACTTAATTAATACTTAGACTTAATTAATATATAAATATATTTGAAAAGTTAAGATATCCGGCAATAAAATCTGATAAATAAAGATAATTAAAGGTAAAGTTACATGAAATATGATACTTCCCAATGCAAGCGTTAATTGAAACTTTAAAAAAAAGAAACCTTTTTGCATCATCACATGAAGCTGAATTACTTGAATTAGATGCTTTCAATCTTTCCGCATGCAAATTTTTTATCGATAAACTTTCTGAAATGAAAAACGGAATAATTTTCTCAAAAACCTTTTGTTTTTTATTTGAACAGCAAAATGATAATGAATTATTAACTGGGAGAAGAATATTGAGCAAATATTAAATGCGTTATCGATTTTTCTCACTAATATTTAATAATACTACATAGCTATCTTCATTTGACTCCTTAGACTCTTATACAAACCGATTAATTTATCTGATGATTAAATATAAAAAAAAAAAAATGGAATTGTAAAAAATAAAAGATCGGTTTCCCTAGAAGAAGTATAAGATATATTTCTTTAAAGGCTAATTATAACGTTAAATGTTAGCTCAAAATGATAAGCTTTGGTAAAATTTTAAAATATTTCATTCTGACTTTCATAAATGAAAAAAAAGGAATTGTTTGCAAAAAAATTACCAGAATTTAAACGACCCGAGAATTTTCGTTCTTTTGTTTCAGTTAAAATTAATTCTTCCATTAACTGATCAATATTTGCAACACCTGATAATTTGAATACAAGAACATCTTCACAGACAGCATTCGCTAATGCCTGAAAGTGCGAAATCACACAGTTTATGATAAAATCTTTAATTTCGAAATTTTAAAATTTTCAGTAATATAATATAGTATAGAAAGGAAAAAAATTAATCTGCAAAATTTGAACTTATTAAATCTTCCGTGAAAAATATTAATAATTTGATACAGTTATTTTTAGGGAACCGTTCACTGAAGTTTTTATTTTATTATTCCGATAACCTATTGGGATTATTCACTTAATTAGCGCTACAATTAAAGTGGAAATATATTTCATTGCAATTATCGAGGTAATTAAGATATGTTAAATATATATATATATATATATATAATGGAAATTCCCGAACTATGCTTCACGATACATTTTGCCAAGTCAAAGTTTGTCAAAATCATCTGCATAATTTCACTTTGAGTAATTAATTAACAATGAAAATTAATGAGGATAAAAAAGGAAAGTCTTAATAGTTGAATTGAATTTTCGAGATGTGTAGAGGAATAAATGAGTTAATTAACGAAGTGATTAATAAAGTATTAGTTAATTAACGAAGAATATATCGGAGTATTAAGAATATATGAATTAATTAACCTGTAACGGTGATAATATGAAGAATGTAAGATCACCAATTCTATTCACATCAGTTGGAATCTTTGTGCTAATATAATGTTCCAATGCGCCAAATATACGTCGACGAGTTGCTAAGATATCCATAACACATCCACTTGATAAGCCTTTTGCTACTGCAATAAACAAATTTAGGGCTTAGCTAAGTATATCATTTCTAGGGCTTATCTTCATGTTTAATCCTAATTTTATGTCTAGTTATCCTTCGTCTACTCAACAAAGATATTTCTGATGACATCACTTATATCACTATCAAATATACATGATAATAAGGGATGATAAGGCTTCGAAAAATTATTATAATACTTTATTATTATGATAATTTAGATGGAAGTACTTTTTCCAATTACAAAAGTTAGATTTTTAACAACTAACCAGGATTAAATAGAACACAGGCTTTTAAGGCAACAAATTCAACATCGTCAATTTTAAGAAATTTCATTGGTGCAACAAGTTGATCCATAATACGTTCACAATCACGAAAATAAATATTTCTAAAATACTATCCAAAATTTGATATGAATAATTTTATTGTAAATTTATAAATTTATCCGAATTAAATTCCTCTATCCTACCTTTTCTTCATTCTTATCCATTCTTTTTATTTTTATTTTCTGGCAAAATGGAATGATACACATTCAATTAATGATCACATAATTAACTCAAACGAAATAAAATCTGTCAATTTTTTAAAAATTTCATATAAAAGTAATTTAGCAAAGTATTTATCATTTTTTCCTGTGGTCTGATATTTTAGTAAAATATGCATGACTAATGTCTAATTAAGTTACTAATTAAACAACCAATCTAATTACTGCTGAAATTATCGTTTGATTAAATAATTTACACGAAATGTTCCTTATACAATATCGATCATAAATGATGAGAAAAAAGAAAGTAAAAGAGAGAGAGAGAGAGAGAGAAGAAAAAAGAAAAATTCATACTCGAGATATTCCGTACTGTTATGATCACCACAACGTGGTATGCATGAATCGTTGAGTAATTTAAGAAAATTTGAATTATCTTTGGAACGATATGAAACACCAAGGATAATATGTTGTGAAGCGTAATTCTTCAACAATGCTGTCTAGAAATCGAATAATTAAAAACTTATTAGAATTTAAAAACACTTTTCATATCGGATAAATTAATATATCATACAGTTTTTTCAATTCAAATAAAGTATTGATTGAAAGTGAAATGAAATGATATATAGAATAAATTGATAAGTCATGCAGTTTTTTTAAATTATAAATCAAAAAAAAAAATAAAAATTAAAAAAAAAGAAACTAATTAAGACACTAATTAAAAGAGAAAGTTAGGAAGTGCATTACTACAATCGAAATTGATCTAATTGTTGTCAAAATGTCATCGTTTTCACATTTTGCAACATTATCATATTTTACAATGGTATTTGGCATAAATGTTGTGGAAAATAAAGTATTGATTGAAAATGAAATATAACAATGAACTTTCATTGCTTATTTCTTCAATTCATTTCGATCACTAATTAAATTCAAGTCCTAATATAAATTATTGATTGGTGATTTTCGAAAATCTTAAAACTATATTATGAATGCCTAAATTCACTTCAAATTGCGAATTCTATTCGATAACGGTATCCGATATTATCCGATCATTCGCGAAACATCCAATATTACCCGATTATTCGCGAAGCATCAGATATTATCCGATTATTCGCGAAGCATCCAATATTATCGATCATTCGTATAAGAATAGCATTTCATTTTGTAGTAGTATAGAGGAGAAATGAAAACCGGGAAGAAAAAAAAAAGCAATAACCTGATCATCGGTTGAAAGTGCTGCAAATGGAGATAAAGTTTTGGCCCATTCGATCACAAGTAATAATTGACCATGAATACTTGCATAAATATCCCTAATGGTTGCTGTACGACCAGCATCATTTGTTCCACACTGCAATTTGCAAATGGATTTCCGGAAAAAGGAAATATCATCCAAAAACTTCCAGTTTCAATGTTTTATTCAATATGATAATCTTCTCTAAAGTTGCAGCAATAAAAAAGTATGCCGAAATTACAATTTTCATAAAATTAATATAAAATAACAAAAACGATAGAAATGCTAAAATAAAATATGCTTACTAATATTTATACTAAAATTAGCAATTTCCAATTTGAGATTTTGAAAATATTTTTGATCGATCAAAAAGTTTTTGTAACCAAACTTTTTTTTGAAAAATTTAAATAATATGAAAAAGGAACTATTTCTTTTAAACTTTCTTTTTTTGCTTACCAATTGATTTTTTGTCAATAATGGAACATCAGTTTGTTTTATAATTGTTTCTCTCAAACTTTGCATTTTTTTCTCAGATAAAAGAAGACTTTCTAACAATGATCGTGGCGTATCCCACGATGGTAATGTTGAATTTGATGATGAAGATGAAGAAGTTGTTGAGGAAACCATAAATTGCCTGAAAATGACAATGATTAATCATTTACCAAATAAATACTTAATAAATGATAAATTGAAATTAACAATTACAATCATAGATTGTCTAGAAATAATGCAAACTAATGATAACCAACATTTGCCAAATAATTATTTGATAAGTGATAAGTTGAAATTATTATTAAATTTTAGTAAATAGTATAACAAACATTTCAGACCCATTGCGAGAAGATTGCTTTCGATTGGTTGTTTTTGTCTGTTCGAATTTTATATTCGGTGATCCATTATTTGTAGTACTTTGAGCAGCAGCAGCTGTGACACTTGTTGATGGTGACGCTGATGGAGTATGATTATTCCGCCTACCGATTACATCACGCTCATTTTGCACTGCTTAAAAGTAAAAAAAAAAGTGTAGAACTAAGAGATGACGAAATGTGAAACCTGAATATATTTAACAACTTAGTACCATAAATAAGCAACAATGAAGCATCAACAATAATGTTATAATATAGTATGATTGAAAATATTGCACAAAAACATGGAATATACTAATAAAATTATCACATTTAAAAGTTGATAATAACAATTTTAAATTTAAAACTATTTATCAAACATTTCAATTTTTGTTAATTTGTCTTTGGGCTTAACTTAATGAAAGACCATTCATACTCAAAAAACCACTATGAGATATCAATTATCAAGATGGAACTTACTAATTTAATCAATTGGAATAATGATTAAATTGTTTGGAGAGATAACATTTCTTGAATTAGTAATTGGAATAATGCGCTAATATTAATAATACTTGAAAATAGTAATAAATGATATATATATATATATATATATTTATATTTTATATTTATATTTATATTTATATTTATATATATGTATAATATTGATTGAAATAATATGAACTAATGAACTGAAATACCAAATAATCTTGTTGAAATAATAATATTGGAGTGATGCTTTGAAATTCAAACCAAAATACTTATCGAGATGACAAACTTTACGACTTTTAAATTCGTTTTAATTAGAAAAACGCTGTTTAATGTTTTTCAATTATTTTAATCAGTTTTTCCCTTGACCAAATTAGAATAACTCAACAAGTTACTATCAATATAATTCAATAAGTTACCATCAATATCAAATTAATAAATAATTTTCATTCTTTTAACTAAATTAAAATAATTAAACAAACAAATAATGTTTGCTGCTAAACAACAATCCTTGATGATATCATCTATATTACAGCAACAATACATAACATTATAATCAATGATAAGTGGTAATCAAAAGTAATCAACGACATCCCTTGTATAATTAGCACATATATGATAATAGATCAACTTACCATCTATCTTCATTCCAGCATTAATGCAACGCATATAACGACATGACCGACAAACTGCTCGATTATCTGTAAATTAATTTTTTTTCCTAAAAATGCTTCGATGGATTTTTTTTTTCAAATAAACAGATTAACATTTTACCGAAAAGTCTTTGAAGTAGAAAAAGAAAAAATAGTTTTGAAAAATGAAAAAGTAAAAAAGTAATTCTAGAAAAATAATTTTTTGAAAAAGTAGAAAAAAAGAAATTTTTTTCTTAATAATTTGACAAAATCACTTTTAATGAAAAAATTTGGGTAAATGAAATTGGTTGTGGAGAGACAAAAAAAACGAAAAAAGCAAGCGCATGCGATACAAATGTGATGCGCAATTGTCTACTAAAAAAAAAAAATGACAAATTTGAAAGGAAAAAAAAGAATAATAAAAAAATCCACAAATTTAAACAAATATTTTTTTCTTTCTAACAAAATCAATCTTTATTTTTATCCAATGTTAATATTTCAAAATGCTTCACTTTTATATAAAAGAAATTAAGGAGATATTGATATACGATTATTTACAGTAATCTGATTTATTTTGTTATTTATAATAATCTGATTTAATGTTATTACTTGCATTTTCTTACTAACATAATTCTTACCACTATATTTACTTTATTACTTATAGTTTATTATTTGCAGTAATCTGATTTACTTTATTACATGTAACTATTTAGTTTTCATCATATTATCATGTACTTTTTATTCGTCTTGAAATATCGCCACGTTTTTTATCTATTATTTAAAATTTATTTAAACTATTAAATCAACCTAATATTCTAAAAAAAAAATCATTTTCATCTGCCTTTAAATTATTTCAATTTCAATAAATTGAGTATAAGTTAGTGGAAGAATAAGTAGAGAAGCGGGAAAAGCATTTCGCGTCATCGAATAAAAACTATCTTTTAAGATTTCAAAAATTTTGGAAAAAAATTGGTAAAAAGTTGATATTTAAATTTTCAGAAAAATTGTTATAAAAAGATAAAAATCTTTGTGGAAACGATAGGAAAAGTTTCCTAAGAATAACATACGTTTGTCAATATTGCAATTACTACTAAAACGACACGTGTACCGGTAACCACGCCGAATAGTTCGCCTGAAGAAACCTGCAGAAACAAAACAGTCATTAATTAAGATAAATTATCTTTTTCATTTGACATTTATTAATATGAACTACATCATTTTTTTTTCCTATCAACTGATTTCCAGGTAGCAAAGAAAAAAATCCTAATCCATTATCATGATATTATGGTGAAAAAAAAAGGAATAAATATATTGTATGAAATTATATCGTTTCCAAAATTTAATAGTTTAAATGCGAAAATATGAAAATGTCATTCGGGAAAATTTGATGATATAGGCTATTTTCAATGGAATTCATTATTGAAATTTTGTATTTGAAAAGATTACAACCCTTATTCCTGATAATGAAAAAGCGATAAAACGAAAAAAGGAAACAAAAAACGTTTTTTCTTCCTTTAATTTACTCTTAAATGAAATGCACCTTTGCTTTTTATGGTTTAAAATTGATTAAATTTTAAAATTCATGAATATAGCAAACATACCTTTACAACCGTTACATGCAATTGTTCCGTAATGTCGACCTGTTGCCTGATCACCGCATACCGTACATAATAAATCATTAGAGTCTAGAAATGATTAATTAGTAAGGTATCATAAAATGAAAATGGCAAAATTGGTGAAACACACTGAACCAGTTCGTATAATTTATTATCTGTTATCAAGTATTGTGATGATAAGATTAATAATATTGGATTATTCAGTTAGTGACATAATTGACGAGTTATTATAATTTATCATCCTTCATTGTATATCATGATGGTAAGATTAGATACTGGACTATATAATCAGTAATAGAACTAATGGGTTAATATAATTTACCATTTGTCATTACCTGTTATGATAAATATTACTGATAATGTATTTAATACAGATATTGGAAGCGGAAAAATTAAACATTCAGTTGAAAGAACAAAAGCAAACTTTTTTCGATGTCATCAATATCTTTCACGGTACTTTCGGCTTTCAACATTTGATGCATCCGGAATATCGTTAATGTTCTTCTTCCAGTTTTCTCTTTAACTTTTTTCTTTTTTTTTTTTTTGGAAATCAACGATTAGAATTGCTGTAATTTCACACGAATATTATCCTAAAAATCAAAGATAAAGGATAAAGAAACTAAAATTTCATTACAAAACAAAAAAAAAAAAATTACATAAAATAAACGAAGTGGATCAATTATAGTATGAAAACTTTTCAAGTAATTAATTATTGGTTATGATAATTGCATTGTATTTCAAAAATTCTCTAATATCAATTTCATATTTTTATCTTTTTTACGAAATTTCACTACAAAGTATTCCTCCTGTACTTTTTTTTTTAAATTAATAATTTATTAATGAAATATTATCTCAAAATCACATTACCAATAATTCATTTTCATGATTAACATATCAAACAGTTTCATCACTGCTATTATTATTTATTTGATCAAATGATAACTGTTAGAATTCTTATCATTATCATCAGTATTGGTAACATTTCTATCATGATTATGATTTTAATATTGTAACAATATTGAAAGCAGTAAATAATGCGCAAACTTTTTCTTCCATCATTTGATAGCTTTTGAAACCTTGATAATAATAATAATTACATTTATGATAATAATTTTTGAAATCATTTTGAAAAAACAAAAACAAAACAAAACGAAATTTTGCAAGAAAAATTTTTTTTAAAAGAGATAACAAATTTGTTTTTCTTTCTTCCTTATAATACAGGAGAAAAAAAGTAATGTGCGTCTAATAATACAGAACTAATTTTTTTAACAATTTAATTTAGCAAAATGATGCTAAAATCAATAATTAAATTTATTTAATTTTTTATCGAATAAATTAAAATGAAAAAAGCCATTGAGTATAAATACTGAGATATTAATAAAACAAAAACAAAAAAAAGGTAAAAAAAAACAAGGTTTTCAACGGTGCGTATTAATTTTTAATTAAGTAACACTTATTTCCATTTTCTTTCAAGATATATTTTGCAGCTTTTTTTCTTTTTTCATTTTCTTTTGTTAAGCATAAAGAGAAGAAATTTGTCAACATCCATAGACATTATCAAATTTAATCAGGTATTTAACGAAAACTAAAATATTTTGAAATGAAAGAAAAACAAAAAAGGAAATAATGTTCATTCACACTTATCGACACTGAAACAAAAAAAAATTAAAAATTTGCATGTTAATAGGACAAATACATAACTTAATCGATTATTGTATAATTAATTAGCTATTTACCGTTGTAAAAATCGTACATAACGATTAAGGAAATTACTTCGAAAATGAAAGAAAACGAAAAAAAAATTCAATATCGAGTACCGGTTTATTTCATTTCATTTTCATTTCAAATTTATTTCATTCTTTTTCGCAAAAAAATTTATATCATTAATAAGCATGATTAATTTCTGCTGTAATACTATTAAGATTATTTATTCTAACAATATTTTGCCTATTTGGCAGTTATTTGCTATAACAAGAAATAGTTTCAATTATTGTGGGAGGAAAATTAATTAAGGATATAATTAGGGAAAACAAAAGTTTTAAGGCAATTGCAAGACGACTTTCAAAAAGAAACAAATTTAAATTAACAAATTTTGATGCACAGGCGAATTCATTTTTCTGCTTTTGAAGCTTTTAAATAAAACAAAGCTAACTTATGCTTTTTCAAAAAAAAAAAAAAAATTAAAAAAAATAAAAAATACATATTGCCGATTTTAATTCTTTTCATTCCGTTCAATTTCATTCAATTTATACGCCCAATTTATTAAAAATCATTTTCGTTGGTATTTCAATAAAATAAGAAATTTATCCTTTCTGCTTATTTCTTGACAAATGTCTTTTCCGTTCATTTCCTAACAAATGATCATCCAAAAAGAGTAAATCATTAATTTCTCAATTAATCAATGATTGAAAATTTAAATTTTATAAGAGCAAAAGAAGTGAGGAAATGTAAAAGAGAGCAATTTCGCAAAATAAAATAAATGCGAAGTGACTGGAAATTGCACACAAACAACTGTTAACGAATTTAAAAGAAAAAAATAAAAAAATTCAAAATTTTCAAAGAATGAAAAGATGCTAAGAAATGAGTGATAATTATTGGAACACATATAATTTGCTCGATCTTTTTTCTTTCGTTTTCTTTTTTCTTTTAAAACAAAAAAAAAAAATTTCGCCAAAATTTTATATATATATACATATATAATAGGAATAAATTGAAGAATGGTTGTAATTTAATTAATTTATTGCAATTTAATTTTAAAAAAATTTCAAAAAAGAAAAATGAATTCCCTTCTTTAAAATAAATTATATTTTCAGTTTTGAAAGTATTTTACAACATTACGTCACATTATATTCCATTAAGGATGAAAATATTGCAAAATAAAATGTAAATATTATAAAAATATTGTGACATTTTAATAATAATCAAAGATTAATGTTATGTTTTTGTTTGTTGCATTCAATAAAATTTATTGAAATTTTATAGTTATATATATAAATATTGAATATTTTAATTTTGATTGCATTTTTCGAAAATTTATTTTTGAAATAAGAATGTATAAAACGAAATCTGGAAATCGTATATTTTAATGATAAACAAAAACTTGTTTTTCTTAATAATTTTTAAAGTTTATCTTATCATTGCATATCTTTTAGTATCATAACATTTTGTAGTGCTTTTGATATTATCAAAATATGATTAGCAAAAAAATCATACAATACATTTAACAATAAACAACGTTCGTATGGCGACGAATTGATTTCAGTTTAGTTGACAATAATTCAAACAATTTTTATTCAATCGTTGTCTTCTCAGAAAATTACAGATCAGAAGTTTTATCAAGGTAAAATGTACATACACACACACACACACACACACACATACACACACACATACACACATACACATACACACACATGCAAACATACACAGACAGTCCTGAAATGCGCAAATAATGACGGAAATAAATTATTTAATTAAAGGGTTTAAAAGGACTAAAGATCAATTGAGAGTAGCAAAAGAAAACAGAAAAACTGAATGATTTGTTGAAAAAAATAAGTAAAATATTACAAAAATAAATTTTCAAATTAAATTTTATCTTTTTTTAAACATTGAAAAAATGTTTGAATGCGTCAAAAGTAAATTCAACGTTATATGTGATTTGCTTTCTTTCTCTTTTACTTCCTCTTTTTCTTTTTTCTTTTATTTTTCATCATAAAAAACAAAAAAAAAGAAAGAAAGAAAGAAATGAAAGATAACAAATTGATGAATACATATTGGAAAAAAAGGAAAAAAGAAAAAACCAAATGAGAAAAAACTAGTTAATTTTGATAGAGCAGCTGAAAATTTGGTATATTTGTAAGGAATCGATTTATAATTATTAAAATAAAATTTAAAAAGGAAGAGAGAGAGAGAAGAGAAGATACGATATTTTCATTCTATTCTCTAATGAATAAATTATATCGTTGCTTAAAATTATTTACTAAATGAAGCAAAACCAAAAAAAAAAAGAAAAAGAAAACGATTGTTATCATCGCCGTTATCAATCACTTATTATTATTCATTGGTAATTTCATGGAATATCAAAATGATTCTTATCTCATAATTAGTACTATTTCAATAAATCAGTTATGAACAAATGGAGAAATATTGTTAATTCAAATTTAAAAAAGAAAAAAATTAATATTATCACAAAAAAAAAGTTTAATGCTATTTTGTATTGCAAATAAAATTGCAAAAACAGTTATTTATAATCGTTTGCTATAAATTAGGCAATATATAATTTAATTTTTGTGATGACATTAATTTTCAATAAAAGAATTTTTTTTTCATCACTCTACAGACTTTTTGTTTCCAAACAACACTAATTAAAATCCTCTAATTAAAATTTCTAAAAAAAGTTAGGAAGGGAAAAAAATTAAAATATATTTGAAAATAAAAGGAAAAAAATTTTTTCAATTTAAAATAAATATATATACATACATGCAGAATTTTAAGTTTTTGTGGTATACTTAAGAGAAGATAATTAACTTTTTTTGTTTTTCATTCAATATCTTTTTTATGAGTTCTCTCAGCATAAAATATATATCGTTAAAAAAAAAAGAAAAGAAAATTATCTAATGAAGAATAGCAAACATCACCCATAAACTGAACATGCGTTGTTGATAACAAAATTAAATTCCATAGGTACCGAAATGTTAGTTACAGTCATCGTTTAACGTTTTTAATTGATGCTGACGGTGGTAATTGATGATGGTGATCATTAAATAATTAATAATAATAATAATAATAATAATATAA